GCGGCCGCTTGACGCCCGCCCAGAGCGGACACGGCATCTCGTTGTCGGCATTGAAGCGGCGCGTCGGCCGAGAGAGCACCACCAGCTGCACGTCTGGGTGAACACGCCTCCTTGCCGCATTCAAACGGCTGCAGACTCCAGCCGGACCTCTCAAACCGCCTCATACGCCCGGGCGGGCTGCCCGGTCGCTGTCTGGTCACATTTTTTTGATCCAGACGGACGCCTCAAACGGTCTCAAACGCATGGACTGACCGGCACTCCCAAATATGAGGCGGATATAAGGTGGCCCGGGCGGGCTGCCCGGTCATGTTTTTTGGATCCAGACAGACGCCTCAAATGGGGCTTAAACGCCTGGATGGACCGGCACCCCAAAGTGAAACAGTGGTGCTCGATGGCGACAGATGAATTTGGTAGATTAGTTCGCCCTTCTGCCAAAGGACTACGTCTGGTTGGAGGGGTTGTGATTTTACACAGAAGATAAACTCTCTTCGCCCTATTCTCCTTCAACTCAGAGCTAATCCGATTCCAGTTGATTCCACTCGTGGTAGATACTTGTCACCCTGCAAATAAACCGCTCATCTATCACTCGATGATCTTCTCCCCCTTTTTGTCAACAAGTATCAAAAAGGAAAGAGAATGCATACGAGGAACTACTCGTTCGAAGAATCCTCGAAATCAAAACTCTAACTGTTCGGCGAAGCAGAGCGAGCGAGGGCCGAGATTGAAGCAGGAGTTGGAGATGCAACATGGAATTCAGGATCAACTTCGGGAGTAGCAGTGCAAGGTGCATCTGGCTTGAAAATAAATGTGTCTACTGTGTCTTTGAGAACATCATCTGGTTCAACAAACAACAAGTCGGTGGAGTCGAAATGCTGAGGAAGCACTGGGGTTTGCCTTCGGGTGCGAGGAACTTCAAACAACTCCAGAGATGACTGTATTCTTTCTCGATACCCCTGGCAGATAGTTGTTTGCGAGAATAATGCTTGCGCGGAAGGGTCCAGGAGCACTTCTTTTGTTCCTTCTCATACAGGAGAGCTTGGCAAGCATAATTGTGAAACTTATTTATCTCAATCATCATTTCCAGCTTCACTTTCTGGTTGAGCTTGATGTGACTTTCCAGGGCTTGCTGAGTGCGAAAACAAATCTCGTATACTGAAAGATTTTCTTCATGAGGGATTTCAACTTTTGCCTTCTTGACCTTTGGAGTTTTAACAAAAGCAGGTATAGAAGCAGAACCAGTAACATCAATCGGTATTTTCCCTTTCCCGGTGTCTTTCGCAATCCGTAGTGCATCGTGGACTGGTGGCATAAAACTTTCGGGACATGTGGAAAAAAAACTTTTCCTCAATGACCCGTTTAATGGCAAACATGACCCAAGGTGCATATGGCTTCAGAGCTTGAGGGCTATCAGCCGCACAGGCCAGGTTGCGAATGAAAAGATCCGAAATATCAAAACAGATACCCTGAGTTGTGGCTAGAAGAGCATTTGCCATGATGCCATTAAGGGTTTCTGGCCTATTTGTTGGCGTGAGGGAGTTGCAGAGGATATAGAACAACACTTTGTTCGCGTAAGCCAAATGCTTTGGATTTGCCTCTATGCATTCATCACCAACAAGTTTGGGGTCCATCAACGAATGAAGTTGAGCTTCGGATACATCCCACTAGTGCAGTCTATGTTCACGAGTAGCATCAAATTTGCACCGAGGAAGATTCAACAGTGCTAAGAACTGGTGAGCCAAACATTTGATCTTTTCTTCTCCTGTCATCCATTCGAGAATCCATGTACTGTAATTTGCAAGATCGCCTAAGATATAAAGAGTGGCATAGAACTGAAGATCAGTTCATGATTCCATCCATGATTGAAATGAAGGAAGCTCTTCAGGAAGACTTGTTCAATCTGCTCGATGGTATGATGGAAGCAGGCTAAAACTTTCGAGCTTAGTGAAATCTAGAATCTTGTGCTTGAAAATGCGATTCTTGTCATACAGAATATGACTATAGTACACTACCCGTTCCTTAGTCCAGAATCTTGGTGACAAGGAAGTTCTTTCTCCATCATATGGGCTGGTTCCAAAGAATGCAAGTTCCAAAAGATGAAACTGCTCATTGAAGCAGGACCATTCGGGCCATATTCGACATGAAATAGGGGGAAGTTTCCAATGGGTTTCTCAGATGTTCCTCTTCACCCATAATCCGGGCCCACTGTTATCAGGTGCAGGCACACCTCCCTCAAAAGGCTTCCTTGATTTCTCTTGTGCAGATTGCCTCGAGGAACTTGACTGTCTATCATTTTTGCTCGTTGGAACTCCTTCAGCAACTTTTTGTCTTTCGGGAACTAGGGCCTTTTCTTTCACTGTATTTCTTTCGGTTGGAAGCATAATGACCTCTTTCTCGGACGCTTGGGGCATAATTGGTGGAGCAATTACTTCTTGATCCATGGGGCTCATCAGATTTTCTTTCTTCCTCTTCCAACTGTGGTGCAGTGGAATGAGGAGCAGGATCAACATCCATCTGGGTAAGGGCACCAGATGGTGTGACCGGGGTGGATTTGTCTCTCGAAACATTTAGCTCACCCTCAATCTTGTCAATCTCCTACTTGTTTAATTTGGAGGGCTCAGCTTGCAATGTTTTCAGAGGCAATGGATCTACCTTCTAAACTTCGATTTCTACATCAACCTCATCAACTGGGGCTTGCTGCTTAGGCGGAGCATTTTCTTCATCAGTCTTTTCA